TTGAACTTGCAGATGTAGCAATCAAATCTTCTAGAACAAAATAAACACAAAGGAGAAGACACTGAAAACAATGAGCTGTAAGGCAAGCTCTAGGGGTCTACTGTACATCCATTTGGAGACCCTGAAGGAGAAGAGGGAGATTAAAAAACATACATGAAGAAATAATGAAGGAAAACTCCTCAAAATTGATGAAAACTGTGCCCTCATGGGTTCAAACAATTAAAAGAATTCCCAGAAACAAGAATTATGAAAAAGAAGTCCTTCAAAATCAAATTACTCAAAGCCAGTGATAAAGAGAATGTCGTAAAAACACCCAGAGGAAAAAAGCACTTTGCCTATAGAGGAATATAGATAGAGATTTATTGTCAAAAACAGTGAAGGCAAGACAAGAGTGGGACAACACCCTTACAGTACTGAAACAAAGTAAAACTTCCAATTTAAAAGTTTATACATTGCGAAAATGCATCATAAAACAATGGTGAAATAAAGACGTTTTCAGAAATACATAACCTTAAAGAATACACCGACAGACATGCACTGTGAGAAATATTAAGGTTGCTTGAAAGAAATGTTAAAGGAAGTCCTCAGGAAGACAGAAGCTAATACCAGATAGAAATCTCAGTTGACAGAAGGGAATGAAGAGCATTGCAAATTGCAATTTCATGGGTAAATATAATTTCCTTAATAAAGAAATGTCTTAAACAGGTGACTGTGTAAAGTACAAATAATAATAATGTGGGCTGGGATATAACTCAGTTGTAGAGTGTTTGCCTAGCATGTGCAAGATTTGATTTCCAGTACATCAAATATTAATATTAATAAAAATAATGTAGGTGAAATTTATAACACATAGGAGTAGAATGTATAGCAACAATATAGATGAAAGACGAAGGGAGAAGCAATGAAATTACACCATTGGTTTTCATGTGCCTGTTTACTTTAAATTCCAGTGGTGTAACCAGCTACTTGCCTTTTTTTTTTTTTTTTTTTTCAATTTTTTTCTGGTATCCGAAGTGACCAGGCGAACCCACATATCCTAGGCATTTACATAACACTCGTGCAGTGACCAGGTGAACCCACCTATCCCAGGCATTTACATAACACTCATCACTTCCAGTGTAAACAGTGTGCCTGGTGAGATGCTGTGAATTCCAAATGCAAAATTATTCTTTTTTCTATCGAGTCAGAAATTAATATAGGAGTTACATCTCCTTTCTGTTTTGAAGGGAATAGAGCTACACATCTTTTAGAGGATGCTGGTTGAGATTAGACCACCTGAAGGTCAGTCAAGGGGACTGTGCAGTATGTTGGGGGAGCAGAGGCAACATATATAGTGGTCGTTTTGGTACCCATGGGGGTTGGCTTCAGGATCATCCACAGATACCCGTATCCAGAACTGCTCAAGTCCCTTATATAAAATAGTGCAATCTTTCCAGAGAAGCTACATGAGCATCGCTCAAACTTTAAATTATCTTTAAATGACTTACAATGCTGAATATAATGCAAACGGTATGTAAACAAAGCTTAGTCTGCTTTTTGGGGAGCGATGCCCAGAAAAAAGTCTGGATATTTTCCACACAGGCATGTTTTATGGAACATTTTTTCTTTGTGGTCGTTTGACTCTACAGATACAGGACCCACGGCTATGCACAGCTGACTGTGTAATAAAATGGACCAAGCTCCCCGCTCTTACTCAAGCGAAACAGTGCAGCTTGTCACAACCGATCGCAGGGTCCTCTTTGTCACCTAGGAGACACTGTGCAGTGCTAATAAATGATGAGTTGAAGAGTCCTAAGCTTGAAAGAGTGAGACTAGTGGTAGCCTCCAGATATAGTCACACAGCGATACTTGTCCCAGCCCTGTCCCTTACCAGCCAGCCACCTGGGAAATTCCCAGCCCTGGGAGGCTGCAGCTGTGCTCCTGTGCAGGAGTCTGACCAGGCCTGTCCAGTGGGGCTGCAGGAAGGTGTGCCCGGCCTGTAAAGCTCCCAGCCCTGGGCCTGGCTTGAGCTGTGACCACACTGAATGGCAGGTGGCTGCCACCTCCACCAGGACTTGATCCCAGCCCTAGCACTCGGGGTGCTGTTCTTACTGGCGTCGCTCTCCGGGCCGTATCAGAGGACATGCAGCTCTATAGGATGCGAAGACCTAATTGGCCCAAATGGGAAATTTCATAACTAAAATGGAGCAAATCTTCCCACTGAGAGGACATGGGACAAAGTCAGTGTGTGGAGTCTTTCCCAGGGGATGCAACTAAGACTCTTAGAATGTGAAGGACCCGCTCCTCTGTCTCTCTGAGCAACTTTCCCAGGCAAACCAGTGTTTCCATTCTGTTCCTCCCCACCACAAACCTAGCCCTTGTGCAGAGCTGTCCAAATAGCTCTAAAGGTAACCTATGTGCAATGCTCCAGTGGACTTTCCTCTGCTTTTCCCAGGCCAGGAGAAAGTGTCAGCCTGGAGCTCCTGGACAGGACTTGAAGGAAACACCGTGTCCCTGACACTGCTCACAGTTGATGGGATGGATGACCTCGTTCTAGTGTCCCTCTGCCCTGGGATAGAGGTCAGGACACGTCTCCCACCTCACCCACATGGAGCTTCCTTTCTGCTTCACCTGTGAAGCACAAAGAACTGCCCACAACAGTTTTCCCCTTTCAGGGCCAAAATAACCCAACTGAGCGTCTGGCCCGGCCATCACAGGGCACTGAAATGAGTTCCCGCAGAAGGCACTGCAGTTCCCCCAGCCCCAAAGTGCGCTGGCTGCACATCCTCCTTCGTGGCGCTCTGCTGGGCCCCAGCTGCCTACGTGTCTCTTACTCGTTCTTCCATGTTGGAGGACATCGCTGCTCCTCCCTGCCACGGCTGCTGTCCCGGACTGCAGTGTCCCGTGGGCAAGACCAGGGCCTGATGAGCCTCGGTCCCTTGCAGAAACCACAGACGCACGGAGGGAAGCGCACTCGCTCAGTCAAGGTTTGCGAGTCAATGCACCAAGTAGCAACAGGACTCTTTATTGAGATTAAAGTTCTCCAATATGTTTGAATAAGCCAAGAGCATACAGAATATTTTTTAAATTTTACAGAGCAACAGCCTAAAAGACATAAAGAACAAAGTTTTGTGCTGATTTTCCCCACCTGTTTTACTGATGACTTCTTTCACATTTCCAAGAAAGCTTTTATCCCAGTGACAAAACAGGAAATGTCATGACTAAAATTCAGTAATCCTCCCCCTCAGAAGACATGTGACAAAGTCCGTGTGGGAGCAGTCTCCCCCAGGGGATGCAGTTCAGGCTCCTAGAATGTGAGCAAAGGACCCACTGTTTCCCTCCCAGATGATTTTCCAATCTAACCACTACTTCCACTCATTTCCTCCACCCAAAAAGTTGCCCTTCTGTACAGGTATGCGATGACACTGACGGCAACCTAGGTATAATGTTCTCTGGAGGGAGCTGGCTGGTATCTGGGCCACAGTCACTGGAAATTCCTATTTCCAATGAAACGCTTTCAGGTGATGGGCAGAGCATACCTAGTCCATGTACTATGTGAAAAAGCAGAGACCAGGACTCAAACACCTTCCCTACCTGCTCCAGGTGCAGACCACTCTGCTTTGTTCAGTCATCATTCAAAGGACACTTTCTGGACCTGCTTTATGTTCTCTTAGTGCTGAGAGCTGCCGTCAGTCTTGTCCTGGTCACCATGCACGCTACTCACAGTCAGCTCCTACAGAAGAAACTGTAGTTTCCCGCAGCCTCACATTACCCTGCCTCTGCACTGACCCTCAGCTGCTCTCCCCTGGAGCCCCATCCCTCATTGTCCCTCACTTTTCTTTAGGTCCTAGGGGATACGGCAGCATCTTCCTCCTATGGCAGCTGGTCCACCATTCTACAGGAGGTTGTGTCTGGCTTTTCACAGTATCACACTGCTAACCCAGGCTCTCTCAAAGAGCAGATGTTCAAAGAAGGTTTGGGGAAGAAATAAGCCAGTGAGGGTTCATTTATTATGATGGAATTTTGAATTTAAAAAGTAAAAGACATACAGCAACCATTGTTAATTTCCTATCACCTTGTCTGAAATTCTGTATTGCTTCTATTGTTTGGGTATTGTTTTGTTTATGTCTGTTTGTTTGTTAATCTGTCTTCATTCTTTTACCTTTAAAATTAAAAAAAAAAAAAAAAGTAAATAACAACCTGGTGTGGTGGCAGGGCAGAAGGCTGAGGCAGGAGGATCATCCCAAGTTCGAGACCAGCCTGGGCTACAAAGTGAGCTCAAAGCCAGCCTGAACTGCCCAGCGAGACCCTGTCTCAAAAAAAAAAAAAAAAAAAAAAAAAAGTAAAACTAAATGCCTATAATTTCAGCACTCAGGAGGCTGAAGCAGGAGGATCACTATGACTTTGAGGCCACCCTGGGCTATGTAAGCAAGTTCAATGCCAGCCTGCGTAGATAGTGAGAACCTGTTTCAAAAAAAAAAAAAAAAGGAAACAAGATCTAGGTGTACACCTTTTAATTTAACTTAATTTTTTCTGTTTTTTTCTTGAGACAGAGTCTCACTCTGTAATTCAGACTGGTCTTAAACTCACTATGTAGCCCAGGTTAACCATGACCTCGAGGAGATCCTCCTGCCTCAGCCTCCCAATATCTTGTAACTTTATAGAATAACAGATTAAAACTAAAAGGAAATAAAATTAATGTTTTCTTCTTTTTTTTTTTTAGTAAGTTTCTTTGCATTTTTAAAGAAATTCCAATTCCAGTGCCATGGTATCTTGTTAAAAATAAAGAGGGAAGGCTTCCTAGCTTGATTCACAAAATACTGAAACTTTCTCTTAAACTTCATAAACAGCAAAAAAATGTGCAACTAACAATCTGTAAATTTAGGTTTTGGACTAAACCACTTAACATTTTAGAATATGAAGAAGATAAATCCCCAAGTCATGCAAACAGAAGAGGAAGCCCAAGATAATTTGTTACCAAACTCTAGCCTGGCTCCTCACAACACTGACTCAGTATCAACTTACTCTGGGGAGGGAAAGCTAGTAGTGGCACTAGAACTTGCACTGGCCAGGGTGCTAGTTGTGGCATTTCTCGCCTGGGCCCTCTCTTCCTCATCTCTCAAAGCCTCCTCATACCTCTGCGTGAAGGATCTGGGATCATTCCCACCAATGCTGCTCAAAAATTGTAGGATTTGCATCTTAGTGATTTCGGCATGGGTCCTTGGACCCCACAGGAACTCGTATCTAGGAGGGTCACTGTTGGGCACCTGCCGGTACACCAGGTACTGCTCTTGCACAAAATCTTCCAAAATGAGCTTCCTGGGCTCCCCATAGATAAAGTGCTCGGTCCCAGGCAATATTCCCATCACATTCAGTGTTTGCCAAATTTCCTCCTCTGGGGCACAGTCGCCGTGCAGGAAGATTATGCTCAGGATAAGTACCAGAAGGCCAGTCTTGGGCATACCCTGGACTTCACTGGACACCCCATCATAGGAGATGCCGAGGATAGGGGCAAGGACATAGGCCTGGCCAGGGGGCTTCACATCCTTCAACTCAATGCCAAAGACCAGCTGCAAGCACTCAAAGGCTTCATCAAAAATCACAGAGAAGTGGCTATAATTGTGGATGATATCCATAATTTCTGCCTCTGTCACTGGCTCCTGCATTTGATACTTCAGGAGTAGGAAATTCACCAAATTAGTCACCTTCTCATCTTTCTCACTTTTAGACAAAAACTCAGTATCGGGCAGCTCCTGGCAGGTGCTCTGACCCTCCACTCCTTGCCTATTGGGGTCCTCATCAGATGGGCTCCACAGAGTGGAGGCTACTGCGGGGAGGGAAGAACAGGCTCCCTGAAGACTCTGCAGGGAACCTGAGCTTTCAGCAGCAGTAAAATCCTCTCGGGCGCTCGACATTGTAGGAGAGCTAGAGGAGAAGGAAGAGGAGTCAGTGGAGGTAGGTAAAGAGGAGGAGGAAGTGGAAGAGGACGACGAAGAATCATCCTCCACAGGCACAGGAACCCGAGCACCAGGGTCACTCTGCCTTTCACTTTGGTCCTCGGGGTCCTCCTCAGGCATGTAGCACAGGCGTTTCCGAGGCTGAGACATGACGGCTTTGGTAATGGACAGCTGGCAAGAGCTCGATGACAGGGTTTCAGAGGCCTGAGGGAGAGAGGAAGCCCATGAGCGGCCTCCGCTGAGAACCGCAACCTTGGCAGTGCTCACGAAGGCTGAGTACCGGTCTGTTCTTTGGGTGCTGCTCTAGGCCCTCACAGGCTCCTGTCCTACAGGAGGGCCAGTCCCCTGGGAACCTGGGACAGAAACTGAGACTACTCCTCAGGGTGTAGCTGGCCCACAGAAGACAATGCTCAGGGCAAACAGCAGGGTGAGTGGAGCCAGGCACTACGTGGCCTCTTTTGTTCTGGGAGTGTGGGGCTCTTGGGACATGTTCAGAGCAACACCTCACCTTGACTCCTGGCACCACCTGGGCCTTCTCTGCTGCTATGAGTGAAGAACACTGCTTCACACCAACACCTTCACAGTGTGCTTCTGGGGGCTCCTGTAGGAGGCGTGGAGGCCCTCAGGCTGCAGCCCTCAAGCACAGTCCTGCTGTCAGCACCGGAGAGGTGGGCTGAACTCTGAGGTCCCTGTTGGTCTGGATGGGTGGTCCCCTCCCTGCTGACTCAGCGACCTCAACTGGACAGGACCTGGACCCCAGTCCTTTGCTGGCCTGACGTAATAGGTCAGAACAAGTGTCAACTTCCCTAAGAGGGTACAAACGGCTGTGGCGGGGAGGCTCAGATCTGGCTACACCTGCCCAGAGGAAACAGAAAGAGGCGGCCAAATTCAGCGGGGCCCATGTTCCCCGGGAGGAGGAACTTGCACCGTCTTTACCCAGCTGGATGGTAAGTTGCTGAGTTTTAGAGCATATCCAATTCATTTTATACACTTCCTGGGACTACCTAAAGCCAACTTCTCTAAACAACAGCTCTATCTTCTTGGTGTCAGTGAGCTGTAGGAGGTATGAGGAGCTGGACTCAGGAGAGCAGGAGGATTCAGGTTTCCCAAGACCACTGAGTGCTTGGGGGCGATGCGGGTGCAGCACCCACCATCTGGGCGGTGTACCCTCAGTCCTCCCTTCAGGTCCTCGCCTTGACCTTGGCAGGTCCTTTGTGTGCTGGGCAGATGGGTTCCCTGTGCCAACGTGCACACACCCTCTCAGATCAAGTCCCTCACCTCCCTGAGATCCCCAGGATCCTCTAAAGAAGTGAGCAGGTGCCCATCTGTCACCCATACATGGGGACTCTATGACTGACAGCAAGACCCCTGCCCAGCTCTCCTGTGATGAGGGAGCCCCATGTGCTCAGTAGTTTCTCCATCTTCCTGCTGTCGGGGCTGACCCTCCCTGATCCTCATATCCAGCTGAGAAGAGCTCTTCTCGTTCCTTGAGACCAAGCCTTCATCTCCTGAAGACTCCCCAAGTTCCTGCCCAGGGTAGAGGTGAGCATGCCACTTGGGGTCTCCCAGAGCTGACCCAGGGGACAGGCAGACTCTGTGCGTTCCAAGCTTCTGCACTGCAGACACACTCAGTCCTCAGGAAGGGTTCATAACTTCAGTCTGGCAGTGCCTGGGGTCCTCCCTCTGCTGCCCAGAGATAGCTCCGTGTGCTGACCTGAGGACACCACTTGGACCAAGGTCCTCCTCTCCCTGAGTCCACCCAACCCCCAACACCTAGCGCAAATGAGAGCAAGTCACATGCAGCCACCTTCCGCAGGGCTCCTGGGTGAAAACAGAAGTTGCCAGGCTTTGTGGGGTCCCTACATTTTATGAGCGTGTGGCACCCTTGTACCTTCACCCTCACCAAAGTTCCTCTCTTGTATTTCTGTCAGATTCTGGCCTTGACCCTCTGCTGAACAGCCTTTGCTCCTCTGCTGACAATGTGGCACTCCTCATACAAAGATGTGACGTCCCTGAGAACAAGAGGCAGAAGTGAAGGTGAAGGGATTCTGGACAACCCTGCATGGGTTTCCCCATGTTAACAGAAAGAGCAGCTTCCACAACCTCCTTTTTCTGGCTGTACTCCTGATCTGCACATGCATCTTCAACTCCAGGCCACCACCTCCCTGTGACCCCAGAGCTGGAAGCTGGGGGAAGTGACTTCCTCTCAGTCCAGCCTGGGCCCCAGCAGGACCAGGCTTCTCAATCCTGGATGTGCTGCCCCGAGGCCACACTGCTGAGACCACGGCCGCCTCCACCCTGACACCAAGACAGGAGCAGAGGTGCACTGCATCCCCCACTGCCAGCTGACAGCAAGGCACAGAAGGCCCTCTGATCA